ACAATAATAATTGTATTGACTTGTACCAAAATGTAAGTTGTGGGAAACTGATTATTATTACCAATCACAGAAATAAATGAATATAATTTTCATCACACTTATAAATAACATGATGTAAATAGATTTGTGAAACAAAGGCAAGTTTGTTTTTATTAGCATTTACATGTACAAGACTTGCAAAGAAAAAAAAATCGCTGCTGTAATTCTTAACACTTCAAAATATAACACTCAGTATGAACATGGAGCTCCATAGTATACATCTTATTTTTTTTTTCTACTGAAACCAGGCTGAAACAGTATTGTAAGAAAAACCTAGGTTTCCCTAGGTCTGTCTTCTTTGTTCTCTGTTGTTTGTTTTCAGTAGGGGCGTTAATGGGCAGTTAATCCAGAGGTTAGGTTCAAACCTACTACTAATTTGCATATTGTAGGTCTAGTAGGTCTGAATAGGGCAGGTCGGGTTTACCCAGGTTAACCCAGGTTTGACCCAGGTGTTTGAATATGAGATCACCCCTAAGGTTCTAGCATTCTTCTTTAAAACTAAACTATCTGTACATTTCCAATATATGATACGTGAACACAACTTACCACACCTGGAAACAGCCTCTTCAGGTTTTCTAATAACTCTACTTTCTTGGAATGTCTTGCACTTTCATGTTTGTCAACTTTCGCTTCACCAAGTTGATCCATCACAGACTGCAATTCAATGTTAATTTCTTTGATTCGTGAATCTGCCGATCGCACTTCCTCGTCAAGACGATCCCGCAATTCTTTTTGATCATTAACTGCACCTTCGCTGGTTCTGTGAATAGAGAAATTGTTTCTGATGTTGTTTACAGGAATTGTAACAAAAGAAGCTGGACAGTCTAGGCAAAAAGGAAGTAATTTGAAAAAAAAAGAAGAATGAAACATAGTACTTACGCAATGTAATCATTCAATTTATCTAATCTTTTTTGATTTTCCTCTCTGAAAAATAAGTATTTTAAATTGTTTTAATTTTTCAATAGACAAATCTTCATCAGTCACTGAAGATCAGAAAGTGGGGATCACAAGAGTCATGAACACAGAGTCGCAAAATATTGTCCCCTCTCAATGGTATTAAATAATCAAATCAGGAAAATTCCTAGAAGCGAAATTAATAAGTTTACAGTAGTACAGATTAAAAATGAAGTACTTTATATAGCATATATAGAAGATAATATTTGGTAATCGTAGTCCTAAATAACTATTAAAAATAGCTAGACGTTTCGAGCAATGGCTCTTTATCGACAGCATAGAAGAAAGTGTTATAACGTACAGGTAGAACATAGGAACGTAAGAACGCGCATGAACTATAAATTAGAATCACAAAAAATTCCACAATAGAACAAATAACGCGCCTTAGGTAGTGAGCTCAACAAATGAGTTGAACTGTTTGTTAATACCATGAGGTTCTTCAGTTCCAAGGCGGAATATAGTTTCCTCCTCGACACGCCTGAGCTGATTTTCGTTGCCATTGACAACACATACACCAGAAATAGACATATCTGTAATATTATGTCCACTAGAATTAAAATGAAGTGAAACCGGATAATAACGATGTTTCTGTCTAGTTTGCCGTAGATGCTCAGCAAACCAATATAAAGTTTCTCGCATTTAATACATGAAATGCAATATACAACATTCATAGTGATACAACTGAACGGGTATTTGACCTCAACATCTCCCTTGGGACCAAATATACTATTAGAGTCTGTAATAAAAGGACAAGTATTACACCTAGGACGATTACACGGGACAGAACCATATTTCTCAGGGTCTCCCCTTTCACCCGTATGCACCAATAACCTCCTTAAATTAGTGTCACGGCG